ACTCACTAGTCAAATAAAAACAAATTTTATGTGTTCTACAATTCATAGTAGACTGAAAATTGGTGTATCCTGGGCAGCATCTGTGGCTCAGTGAGAAGGGTGCTAGCTTCCTATACCGAGGGTGATAGGTTCAAACCTGGCCCCGGCCAAACTGCAACAAAAAGTAGCTGGGCGTTGTGGTAGGCACCTGTAGTCCCAGCTACTTGGGAGGCTGAGGCAAGAGAATCACCCAAGCCCGAGAGCTAGAGGTTGTTGTGAGCTGTGACACCACTGCACTCTACTGAGGGTGACAAAGTGAGACTCTGTCTCTAAAACAAAGAAAAAAAGAAAAAGAAAAAAAAATGGTGTATTCTATTCAATGGATTTGAAAATTGAATTTAGAAAAGTTGTTGCCTTAGTTACAGTTTGAAAATATACCCTATTTACAAATACCAGCATTTTTCTATATATCTACTTAATTTTTCTAGTTAAAAATGGGCTCACATTTAAACTGTAGGGAGAGGAATGATTTAATTATTTCAACTAATCCTTACCAAATTTATCCAAGAAAGGCAAATTAACATATTTTTTGAAGTAAAGGAGTTTTGGGATACCAATCTGGAATAAAAACAGCATCTAATCCTTATAGAAATTTTATACATGCCAAGTATCGTTCTTGTACTTTCATAAACAATTCATTCTATCCTCTTACAGATGAGGAAACTGAGGCATGTAAAGTTAAATAATGTGTTCAGAGTCACACAATTAGGAAGGAGCAAAGCAGGAATATGACCACAGGCAGTCTATCCCACATCCATGTTCTTAACAACTTACACTATATTGCCTCTTAAAGATAATACAACAGGAATGGGACAAAGCATAAAATGGACAATTTAAAACCTTTTAATAGAAATAAAAGGTTAATACCTTCATAGACTCAGACATCTTACAAAACAGAATTTAGGAAAGGAAACTGATGTTCTAGATTATGGTAATGATTCTTTTTTTTTTTTTGCAATTTTGGCCAGGGCTGGGCTTGAACCCGCCATCCCTGGTATATGGGGTCAGTGCCCTACTTGAGCCATAGGTGCTGCCCTATAATAATGATTCGTATATAAGGGTTTTAAAACTTGAATTATTTTAGTTTATTACTACAATGTTTACAT